GACGAGAAAAGAAAATTTACACACTGAAGTACTAATAGTTCACGAAAATAATAATTTTCGTGAACTATTAGTACTTAAGTATGTAAAAATTTATTACATTTCATGTTGTACGAGGATTTTACCTATTTCTCGAACCGTGTCAGAGTGAATCCGTGCTATAGAAGTGCCGTGTTATACGGGGGTTACCTGTATATATAAATTACGTGCCTATATATATATATATAGACACGTAACACAAAGTATTCATAGAACTAGTACATTTTGAAGGAAAATAGTACATTTTTTGAAGGCGCTTCAGTACGTTTTGAAATTTCATTGCGGCAACACTGACCTCTAGTCAACTTCCACGTAGGCACAGAGTTCGCCGCACAAAGTTAGTTTCCTGGAGACTTAATCTTTTTCGACCGTAGATGTGAGACTCTCCCTGAGGAGGGGGAAAGAAGTCGCTTTTATAGCTTCGAGTAGGGGAAATTAGTCAGGTGATCTCCTATTGTGTGAGATAGAGTTGGTCCTGCAGGTATGGAGGTCAAAGTTGTTCCCGGGACCAAAACAAAATGACCAATTCGGACTTTAACTATAAACTTTTTGTCTTGCAGCAGAGGAATGTCATTGTTCGAGGGTTGAATGTTTATATTAACGATGAAAGTTATAAGTTTCGATCGATATTTGATTCTTTTTTCTGACAATGTTATTTTAACGAGGAGGCGACAAATTTATTTTAAATACGTCGAAAATTTAGGGGGAAAATGAACTATTTGGGCTTATTCTGAGGTCGGATCTCACAAATGCCTTTTATTAAAGAAAATGAATGTATTCGGGTATATTTGATATAATGAAACATTTTCATTAGAATTACAGTAGAGCGTCGATTATCCGAAAGAATTCCAGTCAGCAAATTTAAATTTTCGCCAGTGCTATGGCGCTACAATCTTTGGCTATGTCTTGGGCTACTCAAATATTTTACGTTTTTGATACTAAATTAACTTCTGAAGTATAATTTTTATTGTTTTTGTATTTTTCAATATATTTATTTTGTTTGTACAAAATAAAAAAATAATTTTTAACGATACAATAGTCTTCGTTAGGCTTAACATCGACGAAAATTCAACGCGAAGCGACCGCAATGGAGAAAAATTTCAACATGGGATAAATTAATATATTTTTTCGTACATAATCGGTTATCCGAAATATCGGTTTTTTCCGAACAACTTCAGTTCCCAATTGATTCGGATAATAGACGCTCTACTGTATGAAAACTTTTTAATTGAAAGAATTACACATTATTATAAAATTAATGTTTCACAAATTATATTTGTTTTATTCGTTTTTTAAATGTTTTCTCATTGAAAATGTCAACCCGTAACTTCAATACTGTACTGTTACTTTTTCGGCTGTTATAAAGCCCATTATGATGATGATTGAAATTGCCACTTCCCCGGTTTCGTTTCTCTTTAAAGTTTTGTAAGGTGTATTTTTAACTTTTGGATATTCCAGAAGTCCAAAAGTTAAAAATACACCTTACAAAATGGGGGGATATTTTGCATTTCAAGATTGGATGAACCAAAAATTTTGGTATGGTTATTTCTATACGTTGAGATTGATGCTATTAAATGGTAATTAGAGGTCGAAGAGGTGAAGTAGTACAGGGGATCACGTGTCATATCTCGAGTGGAGTTGGGCTTTAAAAATTTTACTTATTGGCAAATACAATATTTTTAAAACTCATCTCCATCGTCAAAATTAAACATTTTTGTCTTCTTACGACAATAAAAGTTATTTTTTCAATAGCATCTCATAACAAATGGCACTGTACACAATTTTAACTTTGAGTTAGTGTTATAGTGTTTTCTTAACTTGTATTTTTAATAGATCTATCACAAGTCAATAAAGTTACTCCTTTAAACCTTTTGTTAATTAAAATTATATCGTAATACAATTGAAAGTTATCGGACTTCTTTGCAGGTTCGAGTGCAGGAAAAGTCGAGCAAGCCGTTGCCAGTTTTATTTTTTATGTAATGCAGAAATGCACCATTGCTTTAATCAGTACCGCCATCAGAGCATGGCAACTGTGCTCTGCGCCTAAAGGGGCCCCGTCCTTAACAAGTTTAGTTTTTTGATTTTATATGCCATCCGGCCTTTCAGCGGTAATTAGAAATAGCGCTCCATAGGAAATAAATTGAGCCGCAATAACTCCCTGTACTGTATTAAAGTATTTATAGCACAGGAAATGGTAATAATTTAAAAGGATTAAACATTAAAGCATTTAATCCAAACAAAAATATCAGATATGAAAAACTTGCGCCAAGTAAAAACTTGTGACAATTTAGATAACAGTCAAATTTTTTTTCTTTGGTAAAAA